AGGTTGTAATGGTAAATTCGAGGTGGTTGGCTCAAAAAGATAGTTTCGGCAGTTGAGAACTTCGGGCTCAACGTATGGGTTGTTATATGCACTTTGGAAAGGGCAGAAGTTGATTGGGCAACCAACTTCAGGGTTGGTATGAGTATTTTTGCATGGGTTTTGAGCAATAGAGGAGGGAGTCTCGGATTGTCGTCAAAATGTTCTAAGTCATTGACGATTCCTCCGTATTTCAAATTGAGAGTTGGAATATTTCGAAGTTACGAGTTGTGTGAGAGGAAGATCTGCGATGAGATTCTGAAAGGATGTATTGCGGTATCTGAATATGGTGTCGTAAGTAGGAGGTCAGTGGTTGAGGCAAAACATCGTGAGGTTCTGTGATGGTGTACCGAGGTATCCGAGTATGATGCCCTGAATTTCGGATCATTTTGAGACTTGAGTTATGACATGGCAAGTGGATCATCAAGTGACTATGGTTCCTGCGAGAGCCCTTCATCTATTGTCATCAAACGGGAGTATCCAAGAGTGTAAATTACAGCGAGAAAAGTGTTTGGTCACAACGGTTGTCGTCAGGAGTGGTGATGCTTAACCCGGGTGGGTGTGTGTACCTATCTATGTTGGACCCTGGAGTATTCGATAGTGAACTCAGTGGGGTGATGACTCGAGAATGAGATTATGGGGTGATAAGAGGGTGAATGGATCCGAGTGGGACTAATCACTTTGGATTATCAGGGAAAAACCATGGAGTGAGCCCATGGTGAGTCTGCAAGAGAGTGTTGTGATACAACGGGGAGCCATAGTATTCACCAGTCAGCGAGAAAGTGTTGTGATACTGCGGGGAGCTGTAGTATTCACCAGTCAGCAAGAGAGTGTTGTGATACTGTGGGGAGCCATAGTATTCACCGGTCAGCGAGAGAGTGTTGTGATACTGTGGGGACCAGTAGTATTCATGAGTCAGTGAGAGAGTAACGTAGGCCTACGAGGAGCCGTCTTATTCGCTAGTCAGAGCATAACGCAGAAGAATTTTTAGGCTTGGGTATCCTTATTATTTGAGTTTTCGGGAACTTGGTGGTCGGACCAGGGCCGAGACTGGGGTCTCCATATTGGCCGGGAATCGTTATAGGCCGAGTTAAGGCGTGGTTATCGTAATTGGAGAAGTGATGTACGAGTGGATACCGGGTCATGGGTTGAGTGCTTCATTCGGACGAATGGTTCCAATTTTGTGTCAGATCAGACTCTCGAGTTTGAGTTTGACTCTAACGGTGTATTCAGTAGGCGAAATGAGATTCCGGATTCAGAGATGGGTCTCATTTTGTAGGGGTATTGTTTGTCATCTGGCGTCTTAGACCTGAGTGGGTCAGTTCGTTGGTATGGGAAGGACCGAGAGACGCATGGAACTAATGAGTAGTAGACGACAGAGGTCGAGGATAAGACGATTTCAATTGGGATTTTAGTATTCGCTTGGGGTAAAGCGGACTTCGTAACTCGTGTGACAGAGTGGGTCGAGATAGTTTTTGTGAGAAGGAAGCCAGTAAGATGTTTTGGGTATGCTTTGGGTAACCTTTGAAGGTTCAACTGTTGGGTCGGGAGTTGACCTGGTGCTCAAGTGTTGAATGGAATATTTGAAAGGAAGCTAGGGCTTATGTTTATAGATATTAGAGGATACTTCCGAGCGAGCATGATAATTTTCTTGTGTCTGAGGACAGGGTGTTGAGAGTTCATCGTTCAGATAGGTTCTGATAGTAGTACAGTGGATGAGTCCCTGGTGGAATGTGACCCCTTTCGTTCCTTTGGAGTATGTACTGGATCGATTAGTATATATCTGGTATGAGTGATTGGTAGCCAATTATTGGCTAGTGACTCGATTCTATCATTCGCAGCAAGAGAATCAGAGGGGCAGTGAGTTATCTGGGTCTGTTATTCTAGGAGTGATAAGCATGGTGATATCGTGCGAGGGCGGTATGGCAGGGAGACATACCACTAGAGTTTTACAGGTTATGGAGAGTCAGATCGGGTATCGTAGCGGTAGAGGAGTCTGTGCTTATTCGGGATTGGGAGCTCCTGTTTGGGTTCAGGTGTCCTTGGAGGAAGATAGTTGTGTGGTATGAGATCCTTTCGGTGGTGTTTCGTGGGTTATTGGGTTTGATCTATGTGTTGCTAAGGAGCGATTTCGAGGGCGAAATCTAATTCAAGTAGGGGAGAATTGTAACATCCAGAATCCTAGGTATATTAATGGTGTGTTTATTTTGGGGTTTATTGAGTGACTCGACGAGTTGTGAGTCCAACTCGTCGAGTAGAGTCGAGTTGACTGCATGGGTTTAATGAGCGGACTCGACGAGTCGGAGAGCCGACTCGCCGAGTAGGTGCTGTGTAGTGAAACCCTAAATCCCCGGGTTTGGGGCCTACATAAGGGAACTTATAGCCTCAATTGCGGCTCATGAGTTGCCCAACTTCACTGAGAGAAACCCTAGTCGCCTTTTTGAGCTAAAAGAGAGAATGTTGAGCTTATATTGAGTATTTTGGTGCATCTTTGAAGGGGAAGAGAAGGAATTCCAGCAAGGAACGAGATGAGGATGTTAGATCTGTTTCTTGTCATCCAAGAGCTTCTATAAAAGGTGAAAAGTTCATACCTTTATCATTCTTATGGTTAGATCTCTTGATTTTGGAAGGTTAGGGCTTATGCCACCTTTATTTAGGATTTCGAGCTTACAGAGTTGTCTTAAGGTTTAGACCTCAGATCTGGACCTTGTGAGGTCCCTAGTGTCCAAAGGTACCAACTTTATTCACCCATTTGAAGGATATTGTGCTTAACACATTGTGAGAGCATGTTTTGGTATGTTGGAGCAAAACTACCATGGATGAACGTAAAGATTGAAGCTTTACGTGACAATCGAGTCTTAGGATGCTAGATCTAGTGTTTGGAGTAGTAGAGTGCTTTGAATCGTCTGAATGAGAAATCAGATTGAAGGGACTCTCCGAGTCTATGAGCGGACTCGACGAGTCGGCTGGGGTTTTTCCCCAATGAGTCTGGACATGGGTAACCCGACGAGTTGACGAGACAACTCGACGAGTCAAGGTGGACTTTCGTGATATGATAGAAGAAACAAGGGGACTCGAAGAGTCACATAGATGCACTCGGCGAGTCGGGTCAAACATGGACTGTTGACTCGAGTTTGACTTATGTTGACTTTAGGGTTTGGTCATACATGAGTAATGGAGACCATGGAGGGGTAAAATGGTCTTTTACCCAATCCAAGAGTTAGAAAGAGAAAGAGAGGGCAACCTTTTGGTATTGAGTATGAATAGAGTATTAATTAGAGATATTTATCCTATGTGATAGGCGGAGGCTAGTTCGAGATTTCCGTGTGCGAGATTATTACTTGTTAGCTTTCGAGGTGAGTCTTCTCACTATACTTACCATGAGTGGTACCTTTGTGTGATTGAGATGTTTATTGTGCTTAACTGTGATTTCCTGCATTATGTCTATGTGATTTATGCTGTGTATCATTTTGAGCTTGCTGAGTTAGGACCAGAGGGTCCACCCGAGTTATGGGACCGGAGGGTCCCACTGAGACACATTGACCGGAGGGTCTTATCTGAGTATAGCAATGAGAGGCTACTGAGATGTGTGTGATATTTTGGGGAACTCACTAAACTTCGTGCTTAATGTGTTAGGTGATATGTGTTTCAGGTACTTTTCATGATATCGGGAAGGCTCGATTGCACACACGAGAGAAAGAGTTATGATTGGAAGATCCTGGATTTGTGATAAACAATTCTAAATAAAAATGTGTTCATAATTTATTACTAGTGATTTTGAGGAAATGAGACATATGTTTATTTGTGTTTTGAAATGAAAAAATTGGTTTTAAATTTTACGGTGTTACAGGCAAATGAAGGCAATAAATCAAAATGACCGAGTCAGCTTTTTTTTTGTATGGGACCGAGTCAGGATGTGGGTAAGTAGTTTTTGACCGGGTCAGACGAAATTATAAAGTATCAAACATGCTGATTGGACCGAGTCAGCCAAAAGTGCTGACCCGGACCTAGTCAGTAAGATATCAACATGCCCTAAGTTACCTACTTTGGAGCTTTATAACTCAAGATCTTAAGTCTATAGGCTATAGTGTTTTAAAAGAAAGTTGTAGTCCAGGTGATAAAGAATCCTTAAATAAACAAATCAACTAAATATAACTCTATATACAAAAGTTATGGACAAGTTAAGAAAAAAGTTCCCATAAACTACGAAAAACTAGAACAATTTCAAAGATCGATTGTAATATATTAATGAAAAAACCTTGCTACAGTGAACATAATAAAAAAGAATTTGGTTAGGTGGAGTTCATATACAAAATATACGAGGACTCAAAATAGACAAAAAGTACAAATCGACAAATATGAAATCACAACCCATTAAAATGGCAGCCTATGAAGCCCAAGTGTGATTTTGATAGCTATAGGGATCATTCTTAATTTTTTTGCTATTTCTTAAACATAGTTATAGAATTAGACTAAGTTTATCTTTTTATCTAAATAAAAACCAAAAAATGTAGTTTTACTTTGTTTCCACTTATGTTTGTGTTAAAAAATTGCTTATACAACAAAAGAAAACGTTATTTAAATATTTCGAAATAATAAAAAAACACTTTTGAAATTGCAAATAACATTTAATCATTTTTAATTTTTTCATTTCTATTTGTAGTGTTTTTTTTAATTATTTCCAAATTGTAAAAACAATTTCAAACTTTTTCAAATATCGCTTACATCATAGATCGCAGCTAGTTACATCATATTTTCTTCAAAACTTGAGAAAAAAAAACGCTTAAACTATTCCATATAATTAAAAAATTTGGTCGATTTGCCCTAAGTTTGTCTTGAACGTAAACATAAAATGCTTTGCATGTTTTATTTAAGGATACATTGAAATCTCATCTCAGCAGTCACCACCATAAAACAAAACTTAACTCCATTGGACACGCCGACGCTGGTGAGGTTGCGACAACATGGAGAAGAAACATATTCCGATACTAATATTCTCATTCTTTCTACTGAAACACATCGCCGGTGCTAACGCCGACTGCTCTCCGGCCTCCTGCGGCCCCAACGAACCACATGTACGGTTCCCGTTCCGTATCCTCGACCTGCAACCAGCCCGGTGCGGTTTCCCCGGTTTTGACCTCTCATGCGACGAACAAAACCAAACAATCATCCAGCTTCCATCATCATCCCTGCCATACATCGTCAACAGTATTTCCTATCTCGAACAGGTTCATTTCCTTCCAAAATCTTAAACAAAAACTCGTTGACACTTAATTTACAATCATGTATTTAATCCAATCGGGTAAACAATTCTTCACATGTTTTTCACAGTTGATCTACATAGATCCGGGATTTTGCCAGCCAAACCGAATAGTTAGTGTCAACATAACCGACACGTCATTCAGTGACAGTAACCTAATGATGCAGAACTACACTTTTTTCAACTGCTCACAGAACTACAGTACCTTGTATCCGGTCGTCCGATTCCCTTGCCTAAGCACCGGAAACTACTCAGTAATTGCTATTGTGACCGATTCATATAATCCTGGATACGTGCCTCCGAATTGTGAGTTTATGAAGAGGATCGTGGTGCCGATTCTGCCAAACGGTGTCCTAAGTCAGGAATTGGAATTGATGTGGTCCACTCCCTACTGCAAATCTTGTGAAAGGGAAGGTAAATTTTGTGAGTGGAAGAGTGATGATGGAGAGACAGTTTGCGTTAGTTCTTCCCGCGGAAAAGGTTTCTCTCTTGATTCTTACTATACATACTTTTATGCATGAAATACTTACCACGCCTTTTAAGGTGCCTAACTATAGAATTCATTTTTATGCATAAGCTAAGGTACTTTTAGTTAAAGAGCATCTATAATGTTCGACTTTAATGAGAAAGCTAAGCTAAGGTACTTTTAGTTAAGAGCATCTGAAATGATGACCAGAAATGAGATAGCAAGTTTAGTTGTTATTAGATGTATGAAACTCTAGTGTCGGGAGATTACACATTAACATTCAATAGATTTTGAGACCATTGAACTCTTCGAAAAAGTTTTGTAATTCTTAAATAAATATTATAAATCAGCTTACGTAGTTTTCTTTTGAATTATATAGAGTTCAATGCATGATAAAAAAAAATTAATAGATTTGTATGTAATGTATAATTATGGTGTGCCAATCCATTGAAGTATATGGATTTCAATGTATTATGGATGATCATCTTGTGAAAACTTAATAAAATTATTAAAAAAAGTTAATCTAAACTTTTTATTCAATTTTTTTTTGGTTATTCATGTTCCATAGCAAATGTTAATATGTACCTTTGGATTTAATTCTTACGTATTAATCATTTGATTTTCCTTCTCAGGTATTTCGAGAGGTGCTATATACGGATTAAGCATAGGCATCGGTGTACCTACATTGATATTTATCATCAGTCTTGCATACTACTTATCTTATAAACGAAAAGGCCATAATGGCTCTCATAACCAAAGAGTTGTCGAGGATAATTCTGGAATGTAATCAGTGTTTACATTTTGAATTCATTCAAGGGTCGTGGCTCAATTTAAATGTATTAAAGGGAAAGTTCAACATCATTATCGTCAAATTCGATACGTTCATCATACAAAGTAACCAATCAATAATTAAGCTTGAATTTTTATACCTTTACATGTATATTTCTATGTATAATATAAAAACTATTGTACATTGTGTTCATTTCATACATTTACATGTATATTTGTATGTATAATGAACAAAGGGATTAGTAGATGCAATTAAATATTATCTCTAATTTTTATAACCAATGGTAGACTAGAGTTTTAGATCGCGAGTTTCTTTATAAAACTTTCATATACTCTGACTCGTCCCTAAAGTGTGGTCATATTCCTCAAAAGTCTTGGTCGTGTAAGTATCTCTTCATGAAGATCATCTAAAGTCCAAAATGATGGAAATGCTTTTTATTTTCTAGATGCAGAATACATTAAACGCTAAAAATCCATTTAAATAACTAGGTTGAAATATAGTGGATTTATAGATTTGAGATTGTAAAATCGTTCAATCCATTCATAACCCAGAAAAAGGTTTAAATACAAAAAACTAGCTGAATAGCTGGAAAGATAGACATACAATTCAAATAACTAGATAAAGACTAACAACTAGGGATAATCACTAGATAAACACGTAAGGGCAGGAAATGAATTTTATCACTCCCCTCAAGCTGGAGCATGTAAGTCTTGAATGCCCAGCTTGCCAAGCAGTACCCGTAATCGTTCAACACCAAGAGCTTTAGTGAAAATGTCGGCAACTTGAGACTTTGTGTCGATATGAACTAGAACGGCCTCTTTAGACTCAACACATTCTCTGACAAAATGACACTCCATCTCCACATGCTTAGTTCATTCATGGAAGACAGGATTGTTGGCAATATGTCTAGCAACTTGATTATCACAAAAAGAGGAGTAGGTCCTGTTTGCGATGCTTGCAATACCTAGAGCAACCACCGCACCCAAAGGACTTCACTGACTGTAATTTCCATCGCTTGATATTCTGCTTCAGCTGATGAACGTGACACGACAATTTGTTTCTTTGTCTTCCATGAAATTGGTGCTCCTCCTAAGAGAAGCAAATAATCTATCCTTGACCGTCGAGTAAAACTACAACCCAACCAATCCGCATCACAGTATGCAACAAGATCTAAACCATCTTCTTTTGGAATAAGAATGCCTTGACACGGAGTGGTCTTCAAGTACCTAAGTACTCTCATAGCAGCATTCATATGTTGTTCTTTTGGATTAGACAACAACTGACTAAGCATGTTGACAACATAAGCAATGTCAGGTCTAGTTGCTTGGAGATAAAGCTGTCTTCCAATCAACCGACTATATTGATTAGCTTCAACTCGTGGACTATCATCACCTTGATCCAGGTGCAAGTTTTGTTCCATAGGAAACGAGCTAAGCCAGCATCATGTCATCGCACTATCTTTAAGAATGTTAAGAGTGTAATTGCGTTGACTTAGAACAATTCCATCAGGAGTTTTAGCCACCTTAATACCAAGAAAGTATTTCAGCGAACCTAAATCTTTAATACTAAACTGTTTGTGAAGCTGATTTTTCGTGTCGAGTATTTTCTCGGCATCGTTTCCTGTGATGATAACATTATCCACGTAAATTAGGACTGCAACAAAAGAGCTTCCCTTTTTATACAGGAAGAGTGAAGCATCAGCATGGGACTCCTGGAACTTTAGTTGAGTTAATGTCACAACAAACTTCTGGTACCAGTTGTGTGACGCCTGCTTAAGTCCATATAAAGACTTCCTCAACTTGCAAACTCAAGTATCTCCCTTCTTTGCAAAACCCTCAGGTATTTTCATGTACACTTCTTCATGGAGCTCCCCATGAAAAAAAAGCATTGTTTACATGAAGTTGATGGGCAATCCAACCTCTTTTTGTGGCTATAGTGAGCAAAGTACGAACAGTGACCAACTTCGCAACCGACGCAAAAGTATCATGAAAGTCGACCCTCTCTATTTGGGTAAACCCCTTTTCCACTAATCGAGCCTTGTACCTTTTAATTTCTCCGTTAGGTTTGTATTTAACCTTGTAGAACCATTTGGAGTCAATGGCACATTTTCCCACTAGTAATCGTTTAAGGTTCCACTTTTTGTTTTCTTCAAGTGCTTTTATTTCCTTTTGCATTGCTTCTCGCCATTCTCTCTTTTGTGCAGCTTGTTTGTAACATTTTGGTTCATGTGTTGAACCAATAGCTGACAAAAAAGCTTTATGTTGTTTAGAGAAATCATTATAAGATACATAGTTGGCTAAAGAGTGTATCGTAGAGTTGCTTTCATCTGGTGTGGGTCGTGCATTGTCTATCGAAGGAGGTAGCTTGACTTGAAAATCATCAAAAAGTTTTGGCTGAACTCTAACTCTTTTGTCTCTAGGTTCACGTGGAATCTGATTATGATTTTCAAGATTCACTTCCATTTCTTGTTCGGTTTCACTAGACCAATTTACCTCTTGAGCCCCTTCATGGGAGTCTTCGTTAGGGGGAGTAGTATCACCAACATCCTTCTCAATGATGAATTTATCAGGTTGACCATAATAGATCTCCAAATCATCATCACATTGCAGCGTTTCACCAAAGTTGCTGTTAATTTCATCTCCCTTTTGTGTTTGACTCTCAGTATTGGCAAATGGGTAAACTTGTTCAACAAACCTTACATCTCTTGACACAATTACCGTTTTACTTTCAAAGTCATATATACGGTAACCTTTTTTCCCTTGTGGATACCCGAAAAAGACATCAGATCTCCCCTCACTTCAAACTTATCTTTTCTAGTTTCGGTGTTTCTGTAGTATGCTAAACACCCAAAAACATTCATGTGATCATACTCTGGCTTTTGTTGAAAAAGAATTTCGAAAGGTGTTTTATATCTAATGACCTTGGATAGTAGTCTATTGATGATATATGTTGTTGTTAAGATACATTCTCCCCATAATTTGATTGGTAGCATGGATTCAAATCTCAAAGCTCTAGCGACCTTAAGCAAATGTCGATGCTTTCTCTCAACAACACCATTTTGTTGAGGTGTATGAGCACAACTGGTCTCCAGAATGATTCCTTTTGATGCATGAAACTCATTCATGGAGTTGGAGGTAAATTCCCCCCCCCCCCGGTTGTCTCCTCTAACTCACTTAACTCCTTTACCAAATTGAGTTTTCACCATTTTACAAAAGTTAATAAGACATGTAATGGCTTCATGTTTATGTTTAATAAGATATACCCATACACTTCTACTAAAATCATCTACTAAAGTCAAAAAATAACGTGCCCCCAAAAGAGAAGGGTTTGATAATTACCCCAAATGTCACAATGCAATAAATCAAAACACTCAATGGTTTTAATAGATGAATTAGGAAAATGTAATCTTGTATGTTTTGCCTTTACACACGAATCACAAGTCTTATTTCTTACAGAAAAAGTAAAATTCTTCAAAAACTCAACTTGCATTTTGGATTCTGAAGCATGCCCAAGTTTCATATACCAAACTCCTACATTAGGTGTAACCAACATATCATTCCTCTTCTCAGTTGTGGAATCCATTCGATAGAGTTATCCTTCGCACTTACCCACACCAATCAAGCTCCTCGTTTCCAAGCCTTGTGCAATACAAAATTCCGGAAAAAAGGTAACAACACAATTAAGTTCCTTGGTTAGGCGACTAACAGATAACAAATTACACATAAAGTTTGGAATATATAGGACCCCATCGATTTTCACTCCATTAGGCAAGTTGCAATTTCGTTTTCTTTTAAATGGAATGGAATCACCATTAGGAATGGTGACAGGTAATTCACGATCACAATTTACTCTATTTCTAAGTAAATTTTGATGACAAGTCATTTGTTCAGTCGCTCTTGTATCAACAACCCAAGATTTAGTCTTAGAATTCTTACCAGCCATGTTGACACTTGTTTCAACATCATCTTTGATCTTATTAGTTGCTAAGCCAGAAAAGTGTTTAACAACCATTTGATATTGTTCATTCGTCAAACTTGGTATAGAACTCGTATCTGAGTCAGCCCACGCAGCCTTAGGTTTTTCTTTCTCTTTCTTTCCCTTCCTGGGCCACCAATCTGGATAACCAATCTTCTTGAAGCAACCTTCTTTTTTGTGGCCATTTTTGCCACAAAAGGTGCAATGTTCTGACTCCTGGTTGTTGTTGGCTCGCTTAGTTTCTTTGACTGGTCCTTTGTTGCTTGTCGTTTCTCGTTAATTAGAGGTGAAGGTTTGAAAGGTAGAAACATCATGCAAGGTTGTCTTGTGGCTGAGATTGCTCTTTGTTGTTCGTCTTCTACAATGAAGTGGTAAGCAGTCCCCAACGTTGGTGTCGGTTTCAATGTGAGTGTTTGAGTTCTCACGGTGGAAAAGGTCCCATCAAGTCCCATCAAGAACTCGTACAACCTCTCATTCTCCTTCGATTCACTCAGTCTTTTTCCAATATTGCACTCATATTTGCCACCAGTGCAACTAGGTGACGGTGATACCGATTGCATCTCATCCCAGAGGCCTCGCATCTTTGTGTAGTAAGCTGAAACAGAAGCCCCATCTTGCCGATATACTGAGATGGTATGTTTTAATTCGTCTGCATGAGGTACACTTTCTTTCCCAAACCTCTATTCGAGATCTGTCCACATCTCTGCTGATGTATTAGTATACTTGACACTGAATCTAATGTTCTTCTCCGTGGCTGTGGTGAGCCATCCCTTAATCATGGTGTCACACCTCATCCACATCATGTAACGTTAGGCTATATTTAGTGGTTTATGCTTTGTTTTGAATGTATTACGTTGTTCTTGGTTTTGGACCGAAATCACCTAGTGATTTCGGTGGGCTTAGTTTGTTCTTGGTGGGCTTATTATGTATGGGCTTTAGGTTATCAGTTTAGTATATATATATGGTCTGTGTATAGCTGTTCAAAAACAGGAATGCATTTTTGGTGAATACTAGTGATTCACGGCTGAAGTGTGATTGAGTGTACTTGACAGTTATTCAATAGAATTGTGTGCATTCATGTTATTGAAACATGTTCTTGATATATCTAATTGATTGTTTTGTATCATTGTTTGATTAAGATTCCACATTAAATCAAACGATTGCATTGATACTTTGATAGATTCAAATTTCAGGGACTTACAAGTGGTATCAGAGCCTTAAAACCGACTTAAGGCCGTTTTGGTATCAATTGCTTTCGAAACAATAATTTGTTTGTGGTGTTTTTGGGTTGTTTTGGAAAAAAAGGATTTTGCTGTTCATCGTGTTCTTAGTGTTCTTCACTAAATTTGGAGGATATTTTGTTTGAGATCATTTTTGGTAAATTACTGAATTTAGGACTCTTTAGATAAAGAAACTCGATCAAAGACTCTGATTTCGGCTAGGTTTTAGTGTTTTCGGCGGCTACTTGGTGTTTTCGGTAAAAAGACTTGGGGTTCTCGGTACGGAGGAGTTTTCGGCCAAGAAATATCGTTCTCGGTCAACTGTTTTCGGTCAAACGGTTGACTTTCAGGGATCTCGGTCAAACTGGTTGACTTTCAAGGTTTTCGGTCAAAGGGCATTTATCTTAGTCTTCGATCAAAATCAAATTGCACAATCAGATTTTTACCGTTGGTAAATAATGAGCTCTTATAACAGTTCAATCACCACTTTTAGTACCAAGGAGGTAAGTGAAACCTCATGCTCTCAGTCCTGTGAAGATAAAATAAATAAATACCGTGAACAAAATGAATTATTAGTTAGAGAAGTTTTTGATCTTAAAAATGAAATCTATGAAATTAAGAAAGTAAACAAACTGCTTAAAGTAAAACCAGAAGCACAAACTAAAGATTTAAGCAGTATTAAAGAAGAATATAGCACCAAATGTGTTCACTATCGTTTTGCCAAAGAGAAAATTGCAAACTTAACTGCCGAACTTGATGCGTTAAAAGCTAAATTTAAAGATGTTGAATTTGACTTTAAGAAATTTGATGTGTCAAGTGAGATAATTGAATCTATGATAGAAAAACAATTGAAATGGAAAGATAACCAGAAAGAGGGTCTGGGGTATCACAGTGTACCACCTCCTTTTAATGATAACTATACTCTGTCTTCTGAAACCATAGAGACAGAAAAATCTGTTCAACATGGTCAGCCTACTGTAACTGTTTCAGTTAAGACTGAACAATCCGACAAAACTAAGAATATTGAGGTGAACGATGCTAATGTTTCTACTTCATGTGCAGAGAAAGTAACAGTGCAAGACGGGTGCGAGAAAAACAAAGATAATTCTAGTTTTAATGAAAACTCTTCAAAAACTAACATTTTATCTTCTGTTGCTTCAAAAGCTTGTGATAGCGTTGCTAACAATTTTAAGCCACATAAAGTTGTGAAACAATTTGTTAAATGTGCTTGTACTTGTGGAAATTCAGTTGGACAGGGACCAAGTTCTGAACGTATTCCTTTTAAAAAACAAACCTGCTTTAACTGTGGAATTCTTGGTCACATTACCAGAAATTGTCCAAATCGTCCATATATTCCCTATTATGCCCAAGGTTGGCAGAACGTATCTCGAGGAAGATCTTTCAAGAGAAACTCCTAGAGATCACGTGATGGTGACTGGAATACTGCCAATACCAAAAATCAGACTCTTAAGAACAAAAAGGCAATGTCTGACAAGAGATCTGATTTGAGAAATACTTCAGTCAAACCAAGATCGGTAAGGTCGAAGTCATCTCGGCGATCGGTCTCAAGCTCCAAAACAAGTGCTGAAGAATCCATCCGATTAAACAAAAAAATGGTTAAACTTGACTACAGATGGGTACCAAAAGTTCCACTCCAAAATAACCTAAAAATTCTAACATCTCTTCATTTTATGTGTTTGATAAACAGGATATGACTTGGGAACGTGTATCACGTAGATGACAAAGGTCAACCCAGTTTCAAAATGGAATGGGTTCCCAAAACCAATTAATCCTGCACTCTGTGCCGGAGCAGCTATGGAGGAATATCATCAGACTTCGGTATGTTGATAGTGGCTGTTCCAGGCACATGATAGGAGACATCTCTCATCTGCATGACATTCAAAATTTTAATGGAGAGCATGTGTCCTTTGCGGGAAAGGAAAAGGAAAGATCACAAATGGGGATTACATCAATTGCTGAATTATGGTTTGAATTTTCTGACTCTTCTATTCTCTGTGATAATAATGTTGATTTTCAATCGTCCAAAAACCTATTTTTTCTAAAACCAAGCTCGTGCTTGTAGGATTTCTTAAGATGATACGTTTCGAAGACTGAAATTTCTTTTCATTTTTATTTAGTATTTCTTATTTTCTTTCATTTTGTTTTACTTTTAGAAAAAGAAAATTGTGACAATATTTTGGGAAGTGATATGAGTTAGTGATAAAGAGCAAATGAAATACGTGTAATGCACTAAAGCTGAATTGTCTAAACTCTTTGTTCAATGTGTTGGTAGGCATAAAGGACTAAGACTAATGGACTAGACAATGTGGACTCATTTGGACATAGAAAACATCATTTGGACTGACAATACGCCGCTTGGATAGATTTAACAGTAAAATAGACAAGGAGGCCTATGACATAAATTGAAGCTAACTATCATCTAGATCTGTGGCTCAACACTTCATTGGCGTATGGACTTGTGTCCTTAATTCTTGTATTGACAGGGGGTGACTAAGGGGTTATGATAAATTCGGTCTGTTTAAAATCGTTATTCTTTCTTTCTTAGTCAGCCACATGCTGTCCTCTCTGCGTGATCGGAAGATCCGACCTGGGACACAACCTATGCACCTAGTTGATGTTCACTGCTTTTAAGTTAGTATATTGTCTCCTACATATATCCTACTCTTTATGTTAGTCATATGTTGTCCCCTCTACGTGATCAGTAGATCCGACCTGGGACACAACATATGCATTCCACAATGATTATTTACTCACCTAAAGTAAAGGATTGAAATTTCATTGATTACCGGGGTATGCCATGAAGTGGGGAACATGTTCCAGTGTACTAACATTAACTGCACCCATAACTACAGGCTGAATGGTAGATTTTACTGGCTAAATTTAAGTGGACAACAATATCCCTGGCCGTCGTCAGACAAAATAGTCTATCTAGGAATATAGTAGCTATATATCGTCACTCATGATCTGTCCTGAAAAATGTCATTTGTGCTTAAGTGGATCACAATATCAATGATTGACCAGAGCTTTTCATGAACGTGTGTGCTGATAAACCTCATTAATTTGCTTCATAACGTTTGATCCCAAAAGTTTTTGTTTTATTAGAATCTGTTTATTACATTTTTGTTTTTATTTAAATTTGTACATATTTTCACTGTTATGCACAAATTTAGGGGGATAAATTATTCCATAAAAAAGTTTAATTTTCCTTTTATTTTCGTATTTGGTTTTTGAAAGTAAAATCGAAAGAATTTTTTTTATTATTAAAAACGGGTATTTTTCTTGGGCCGAAATCATTTAGGTGGGCCATCTGGGCCGATTTTTTGGATATATATATATATATATATATATATATATATATATATATATATATAAATATCTTGTGTTCGGTTGGTTAGGGTTTCTCACCGAAAAACCCCCAAACAGCTGTCGTTGTTTTCTCTTCCAATATCTTCAAGATTTTCTGCTAAAATCTACCCATTCGTTGTTTCTGTTGCAAATTGTTCGGTGAATCAGGTAGCTTTTTGGTTTTTGATCATGACAATGGTATTTAAGTTGTTTTTGGTGTACTCGGTTTCATAGATTTGTAGGTTTTCGAATGGATTTTACGAGATTTCCGAAGAATTGCATTGGAACAGTTTCCGATGAGATTTCGGGTTTTCGGTTTAACCCGGATTCGACCGAGATCTGATGAAGATCCGACCCAATCTGACCGAAATCTGGGTTCTCGGCCGAAATCAACCAACGTTGACCGAAATCGTCTGGTCAACAAGTGATTTCGACCGAAATCGATCATCTTTGACCGAAATTTTGACTTTGACCTTGACTTTGACCGAAATCGGATTTCAGACTCAATTTAATTAATTTTAAATTAGTTCTCACTTGGCTAGTTTGGTGCAGATAAATGGCAGAGCAACTTAAATTCGTAGACTCTCACAACATTGCTGGATATCTCATGGATCCTCATGCTGCTCATCAAGAATTCAAATCCATGATGGTGGGTTTGAACAACTGCAGGATCTCTCAAGCCCTTCGTGCCAATCCAATCATTCACAGAGACCTAATCACTGATTTCTAGAAAAATGCTTCGTTCAACAAGCTAGGAGCAAATGGAGCTGGTACAGTGGAATCTATGGTGAAAGGAACACAAGTGATTATCTCTGAACAAATTATCCGAGAGGTACTCAAATTTGGTGATGCATCCGCATTCCCAATTGAGTACTCTGCTGATCATGTCAAGGAAGTTCTTGAGAAAATGTGTTATGAAGGAAACTATCCTCCCACTATCAAGAAGCTACTGCCACGCTACTGTAGGTTCCTGGCACACTCCTTCGTGAGTTGCATTTCCGGAAGAAAGGAAGGCTCTGACGAAATCAGTCAGACTGTGACCTCAGCCTTTGTTGCTCTAGCTATGGACTGGGATTACAACTTCTCAAAGTTCGTCTTCGAAGAAATGAAGAGCAACCTCCTGGGAAAGAAAAAGGACCTATTTTTGATGTACCCCAGGTTCCTTCAAATGATTTTTAATGAAAAATATCCCTAAATCTAAAGGACGCCTGATACATTGGATATGAAAGCTTTGGGTCCCAACACTTTTGTACTCATGAAGCAATCGAGAAAATCTGCCAAAGTTGCTTATCAAGGATTAAAGGAGTCAGTTAAATTTGGAAAGTTTGCTGAGATTGAAGACACTCCTGCTGTTGGTTCAATAAATGCTGAGGTTGCCGACGAACACGTGGCACCCAAACCAAAGTTTCAATTCGCCATTGAAGAGATTGAATTATCTGATGATGAAAAAGATCAAGAGGATCAAGAAAATGAATTGACAGAAAAAGAGTTTGAAGACTTTATTCAGCAAAGTATCTCAAACCCAGAAAATGATGCAACTGTCACACCACCGGTTGTGACTAAAAGGGAAAGTGACACAACGGTGCAATCTTCCATATCGACACCTGAACATATGGATGCTCTCATAGTAGAATTTCAATGAACTGCAAGGAAGCCTCCTCAAACAGTTCCTGTCGCTATTGCATATTGTCTGGATTTGTTAAAAACGTAGGAATGGTAATATACAGAATCTGTAAAATCTAACAAAAAAAACACTGAGTGGCTATCCCGACGACATGTCGTCGCTATAGGTATTTGAACAACAACTTTGAAAACAATTTAGCGACGACATGCCGTCGCTATATGTATTTAAACAACAACTGTGAAAACCCATTAACGACGACATGTCGTCACTATAGATGGCACCTATCCCGACGACAAGTCGTCGCCACAGGTAATTAATAAAACTTTTTTTTTTTGAAAATGTTCTCGACGAAACCTGTAACGACGAAAGGTCGTCGGAATAGGGGGTACCTACCCCGAAGACACCTATGCCGACGACGTTTTTGACCTATCCCGACATGACTATGCCGATGACGCAGTGCCGACGACATGTCGTCGGTACACCCTATGTCGACGACTTGTCGTCCCTACAGGGTCAGAAATTGTTGTCGACATAGTGGATAAATGTTGTAGTGGCACGAGATGATTAACAGAATGGGGGTGAAGAAGGTTTTAAATAAATTGTCTTTAGATAAATATTCAAAGAGTAAGGAACGAAAACAAGTGAGCAAGGATTAAAAATTTCCGTAACTGTTATCATGCAAATTTTCTTAGAATTCACGAGATTAAGCTCACAAATATAGATGTGGCTATGGTTAGATCCTTTTGGGATAACCTTTTCTTTGAGTACGAGTTTTCTAATGTTCAAGGTTTTTCGGGGTGTATTGTGGTTATTTAGGACCCACGTATGTTTGTTTGAAAGAAAATGACGGTTCGTTATAAAAAAATGTTGCTATTGAAGGTAGATGGGTTGCTATCAATTTACATATTCTGATGGCCACAATGATTTTTCCATATGATCTTGATAAAAAGAGATCATTTTGGAATATGTTGCTTACTTTATTTAATCAGTTTGAGGGTGAAATTGTGATTTTTGGAGATTTTAACGAGGTTAGAGATGCTAGTGAGAGGTTTGGGTCTCTTTTTTTCTTTCCTCTGTTATGCACTTTAACCAATTCATACTTGATTTGGCCTTACTTTTACTTCCTCTTAGAGGTGATTTGTCTATTTGGGCTAATAAATAGGGAACAAAGAAGAGTATTTGAATAAATTCTTTTTTTAGAAGGTGTTTTGATTCTTTTCCTAATATTTCAACCATGCTTTGCATGTTTTTGTTTGTTTCATTTTTTATTTGAGTCAGACGGGTTAATAATCTGGTTAGAGTGTCTTACCTTAATAAAGAGAGAGGGGGGGGGGGGGGGGGTGGGTTACAAATGTTATGGTTATTTTTAAGAACTTCTAATTCTTAAATTTAACCTTAGAAATTGGAACAATGATCTAAGGAAGAAAACAAAGGATTGAAAAGTAGAGCTATATAGGAAGATTATAGTCGTTAAACTCCAAACTTTCCATCATTCGGCCATTGATTTGACATGTAAAATTGGGTTAATTACCTCAAAGAGCTTCACAACATATAACATTTGGCTTAGAAGGCCAATATTAATAGAGAGTCGAGGGGATGACAATTCTAAATATTTTCACACCACTATCAATCGAAAAAGACAACATTTTTTTTTTATTCGTGGAGTTAAAGTGGCTACTTAATGGGTAGTCGACCCGAGTAGAGTAAAGAAAGACTTTTTTTTAGCATGTTAAATATAGGTTTGTGAAAGTTGGCTGACTTAGATATCACATTGTGTTCACGACTTTTAAACGATTGAATCAAGATCAACTTCGTTTTATAAATTCACCTTTCTCTAATGAGGAGATAAGGAAGGTTGCTCGGGATCGTGGGTGGCTGATCTTGTCGATAGAAAACTTCATTGGATTAGTTGGAATAAAGTTATGACTAGAAAAGATTATTGAGATATAGGTGTGGGGGGTTTGTTTTGTTTATCAGGGCCTTATTTTTAAATTGAGGTGGAGGTTTTTTAGTAGTAGAACTCACATTGGGTTTGGATGATTAAAGCAATGCGCGTTTCTAGTGTTCTAGACCAAGCCAACGCTAGAGTGACTTACATAGGCCTATGTGAACATTATTCGAACTATAAACCAACTCTAGTTTAGAAGTATGTATTTGAAAGATTCGTGCTAATTAAAGTGGGGGATGGTTGTCATACAAATATTTGGTATGATATTTTCTTATAATATGCTTCTTTTAAAGAGCCATTTCCTAGAATATATGTTCTTGACATGACTTTTGACTGTTGTGTTGTGGGTCGAATTTTGGTTAGCAATTTATGTGCCTCATTGAGAAGAAACCCAAGAGATAGGGTTGGAACCACTTAGTAGGACAATTTGGTTTTATGACACCCCCATTTTTACGGTCTGGAAATACCTTTTGGTTATGCTTATTTTAAAAATAGTATTCTTTATAATGTGGAATTTGTCCATTAAAAAGTATTTTCGAAGAATTTTGTTTTATTGTTTATTAGAAACTTGGAATGTCATAACTGATACAAGAAACATAAGCATAAAAGTAGTCATTACAGGCCTTATAATATCTTTTTTTATACTAATGGCCTGCATCTCCTTGAATTTCTTTTCAGATCCAAACATCATTATCCATGTACCTTTGTACTGCTACCTGTGATACAAAGAAACTGAGTGAGTCAGACTTGGGAGCCTAGTGAGCACATAAGGTTTTCAACCCACAATAATATAATTAATTTGTTTAGTTATCTATTTCACATCGAACGATTATCCCAATTACCCATCCCCGTCTTCCTATATATTCATTTATAAGGATCTATCCTAAGAATCATCGCACAACATTGAGTAGACAATACTGCTTCTGGGATTCCTCTGTAATACATGTCAGTAAGGAATAGAGTACATCGTATGAACACGTAGTTCATCACCTGCATGTTGCGAACTTGCCTGTGTTCCACTGGACTGTCTAGAATAGTCAATGACATCATCTATACTCTGTTAGATGACTACATCGTTAGTACAATAGTACTATTAAATTTATGGCCTATTATAATCATTTTCATCTCTCATCTCTCATCACCCATCATCATCTTCCATCTCTCATCACCCATCACTACTCAATATATATTAAGTATAAAAATTCATATACAGTAAAAATCATATAAAAAATAATCTTATATTATTTCATCTAACACCAAATATCTTAATCACATATAATAAGTACATATAGCATTTAATTATCTAAATACTTTATATCTATGTGTAAGATGAAAGTAACTATGTACTCACTTGTTAAAAGTGAATGACTTGAGATTTGGGCAGCACTTCGCCTAACGCTTTAGCTTTTCCTTTGATATGACCTATGTATGAATATTACTAAGCATCAGTCTTATATTCTTGTGACTAATAATAGTGTAAATTTCTCAATAATCCAAATTTTTACTGATCTATAGTTGATAAGGAGCAACGGGGTAAGATCATATCGGAGGTAGGGTCTGTTTGGTATACAAAGTATACTGTTTGGAAAATCTCACTTTAAACACCTCACTAAATCTAGCCTAGACATCACCCCCGTTAGTAGAACAATAAGTATTATGATATTTATTACTGATAAATCTTATTTATAGATTCATAATAACGACTATAAATATAAATATAAGTTACACTTGAATTAAGATGAGTGCAAATTAACTTACATAGATTTTCTAGAAAAAACTCGGAAATTGAACTGGTAGAACTCCGACCCCAAAGCTTCCATATTTCGGGCTCTCAAAGACCTCAAAGCCTAGCCAAAATATACTAATTACTAAGAAATTTCGGAACTTAAATTCTAGAGAGAATAGGAGTTGTGGTGCAAAAATGAGGGGCTTGCTACAACTACATATAGCAGAATTTGTCAGGCGTGTCACACGTTTACAAGGGCGCGCCGCACGTCCATGCTACGCTGCTCCTCCTGTTCAGTGCAACGTGTCAAGCTCTCTGTGGTTTGTGTTGCTGTTTCTAGAAGAGCTTGCTCGTCGCGCCTAGCGCTACACGCGCACAAATTTTTTCAGATTTTCAAAAGTTCATATCTTCTTTGCACGAGCTTCATTTCCGATGTTCTTTATATCCACACGTAACTATGAACGAGTACTACAACTTTCATTTAGACTCCGTCGGCTAATTCTCACTTTATTTTTAAAATTATATTTTTAACAGACTTAGACTGTTAAAGTTCGTATAAAAACCATAACTCTCTTATACGACATCCGTTCTTGATTGTCATTATATTTGCGAATTCCTATTCATGAGATCTTTGATTATTGTTTTTATTGTTTTGCCTAACAATCGACCGATCTAAAATTTGGTTTCTATGTCGCACACTTATATACTGAAACTTCGAAAAATCATAACTTCCTCATATGAAGTAAGATTTTGGAGTTCTTTATATGCATGCTCTCTCTTTTACGATTACTATGACATTCTTTTAGATTACTTAGGCCAATAAGCAATTGATCTCCAATTCGTATTTTACGTCGTACTTTTGTCGTAAAAGGACTGAACGCAAAACTTCAAATGATCATGACTTCTTCATACGAAGTCAGATTTAAGTGTTCCTTATATCTACGAAATCATCATTGCGACTACTACAATTGTAGCAATATTATTTATCCTAAATAATATTCTACCAAAAACGTTGATTTATCGTTCATCGATAATTTCCTTAAAAAAGCTTATATTATGTAGTGAACACTGCGCATGATTAACGATTATCCTGTTCGATGATTTTAATTATAATAATTATTACTATTATACTTGAATCATCTAGTCCTAACTTACGAGCGTTACAAGTTTTTATAATTGAAGGTTTTTAGTTTCCATATGATAAGTATCGGCTGTTTAAGTTATGGAAACTTCTAGTAGATTCATTGTTGAATTGGCTCACCAATTTTTAGGTGGAACTTTTTTGTTCTCTAATGGGGCTAAAACTAGATGGAACAATTTGGTGACCATCATGTTCAATATCCT